TGTATATGTGAGGATTAACAGGGATACTGGGGTTCGTTACCGTTTGCATTACCATAAGTACATCCTGACTACAGAGGGCAAAATAGAATAATACAATAATGCAATCTAAAAATAAGTGCTGATAAAAAACCCAAAATACTGTCAAGTACTATTGTTGGAGTAACTTACTGACGTTGATGTTTGCAATTAATTGAGGGGGGAAGAGACATGGAAGCACTAAAGCTTGAAATCTGTGCTTTGGAGGTGGGCAAACCAGAACACATGAGGAATAATTTTTTGTTGGCTAAACACAGCGTTTCTGTACTATTTTTCTCTCACACTTGTAGGCTTCCACATCCTTTCTTAATTACAGCACTATTTTAATACTTTTTGTGTACTGTCTGTATACTGTCAACCCACAGAATATGATTTTCTAGGGTTACCTTGACAAACTCCATAATGAAATCAGCAGAACATTGGAAAAGATCAATAGCAGGGAGAAGTACATCAACAATCAGTTGGAGCACTTGGTTCAAGAGTACCGTTCAGCACAAGCCTTGCTGAGTGAGGTAAGGCACTGATCTTTTTCTGTTGCCTTCTCTAGTATTAACTTGCTATTAGGTGAGGGTGAAGGCAAAGAAGACTCAGAGGAGTTATCTGTGAATTCTGCTCTTTGATATAAAGCAGGGGAAATGTTGATTGGCTGTCAAATTATGTATTTTTAAGCTAAACTAGCAATTTTTCTTCAACTGTTCTACAGGGGAAAATAAATGGGTTTTTGCCTGAATATTATGTAAATCTGTTGCCAATCTTGAGCAGCTAGTAAATTGCTAGTTCTGCGTTCCCTGTTAAGTTCACACATCTGTGATGAGTGGAAAAAACTACAGACTCAGTCCAGCACTCGTCTCTTACACTGATTACTCGTGCTAACGTGCACAAAGCACTCTGATTACTTCTTTGCTGTGCTGTTTGAAAAGCTTTTTCATCTCCTAGTTAGGAGGCCTGTATAAGCTGCCATTTGGCTAGCCCTCCTATTTGTGGGCGTTAAAATAAGGCTAACAGGATTTGAGCTCTGTGCTTTCTGTTTACCTTACTGTTAAACTTTAAGAAACTTCAAGATAGTACTTTACTGTTGACGAAGAAGTATTCTGAGTTTCAGGATTCAATTCTGTTTGTCTTCTGGCAAATTGTCTTTATTTCCTCATGTAAATGATGAGAAAACATAATTCTTATTGTGTATGTCTTAGGGCTATTACAATTTTTAAACTGCTTTAAATTGTTGAAGGATAGTCATTACAGGGGCTGATGTTTCCAGCCTGGTATGTGTAGTGCTGTAAATGTTACTTGGACTTTATAGAATTTCTGGAACTGGGACATGTGAGAGAAAGTTTTGGTGTTCTCTTTGAGCTGTCTGCATACATTTCTTCAGCTTTGTCATTACAGCACAAAAAATGTTTCTTTCCAGGCTAAACAGAAGTACCAAGAGGGAAGTGGAGGAGTAACTGCAAGGAGTAGAGTGCTTTCTGAGGTAAAACACATCTTCACATAATTTCTTTTGCTGATTTTAAAGCAATCTCCAGAGAGCTGGTATTTAGTGTTTGTAGTTTTCTGAACCCAGTTCTTTCTGATTTGTTCTCATGTTAAAGATTAACACGTTTGTTTAGTGGAGGCAGGCTACTCCAGTATCTAAATTTTAACCAGGCTGCCATTGATTTTTAACTGGTGAATTTGACCAAACTATTGTGAGCTCTTAATTTCCTCAGTTTGTAAAAGAGGGTAAATGTTCTGTATTTTATAACCTTTGTCCTAGAATTATTGAGGATTAATCAAGTCATGTCCATAAATTATTTGTAAGAAGAAAAGCTTAACTCTTATTTTTAGTTAAAATTAACAATTTGAAATTTTCATCATCCAAGCACTTAAAAGCAATATTTAACTAAACGGTAATTTTTCCATGTCAGACAAATTATAGTAATACCTAAAACTGTTTTTCTGTTGTTGTTTTTTTTTCTTTAAATCAGTGCTCTAAATTAAAAAAATTAAAGAAAATCCCCATACTCCTAACTGCTTCAACATGCTGAGTGTTTCATGGCATTTCATTTAGAATTACTGCCCCATTTCCACATATTTCAACCCTTTGTCCAATTTGTAAATTATTTTTTTAATGGCTCTGTTATTTGGGTTTCAAAAACCCTCCTTATTTATTAGATGAGAAAGTGTCTGGAATAGTCACATAAAACAGGTCACATCATAAAACTGTGCTGGAAACTGTAAAACAAGTTTGAGATATTTTAGAATAGAATAGTTCAGTTGGAAGGGACCTACAACGATCATCTAGTCTAACTGCTGTAGGTAATACAGCAGTTCAAAGAGAATTTTATATCAAAGATTTCTGTGATTCTGCAGAATTAGAGCTTCTTTCTATTTCACTCTCAAGGAAGTTTTGAGAAGGAAACTACAATGACTTCAGATTTCTAACGTGGTTGTGCTTTGGAAGTTATCCACTGATTAGTAATGATGTATATGTTACTAGCTGGCAGCCTTCAAACTATGCAGATGCAGTGATGCATATCTGAGATAAACCAGGTACACTTGATATTACTACTGATCTGCTTTCAAGCATGCAATCAAATCTCGGCCCACGTGGTGATACCAGTGCCACTGTAGGTATGCAATAACAGTGCAGCCATGTTTGGGGTTTTTTTGTTACTGAAAAGGCTTATTGGAGCCTTAATGGAAGGAAAAATTTATACTATAGATAAAAATACTGAATTATTACCTAGGCTGTACCTTAGAATCATATATTTACTTTTTCTTCATTGTCTACAAAGGCAAACTGGTTGATAGTCAGTGCTGAAATGCACTTTTATTCTTCATACACACATTTTACATAGCTGTGCCAGTGCCAGCAGGCTTGAGTGCTGCACCTTCTTTTGCTGCAGAGCTGTTTCTCAGATTTCTGCTGTCACCTGCTGAAGTCCTGACACTTCCAGAAGGGCAGCTGGCATGGTCATTTGGTGAATCTTGGTCTGCAGGGATAGCAGTTGCAATCTTCCATCCAGCATCATACTGCAGCACTTACACTGTTGTTTTTATTGGTTTGGGATGTGCAAATTCTCAGTAACACCGTGCTGTTTGGCCAACTTGTTACTCTTTTTGCTGTAATTTTTACAGCATTAATTTAGTTAAAGTTAAATTAAAATTTTCTTAATGTTTGGAAAAAAAATGTTCCTCCATATACAATAACTAAGACAGATTAGTTCATTTTTTTTTTTAACTAATGCAGTTATTCAGCAGAGAATTTTTTTGTTTTCTTTTTTTGACTTGACATTCACTTGGTTTAATTAAGAAAAAAATATCTATTTTAAGATCACAGAAGTATTAGAGAGAGTAAAGCAAGAAACAGAAGAGAAAGGAAGCAGTATGACTGATGGTGGTAAGTATGTGTTTGGTCTGAGCCAAAAACCTGTTTTCTCAGTGACAGGTACATAATTTATCCTTTATAAAACAGAAGTAAAACAAGACCAGAATGAGTGACTAGTCTAAAATATCAATATTAACATTTTAGAAGGTGTCTAAGAAAATCAGGAGTCTAAATCTCTTTGAAAAGGTTACATAAGTCTGCAGAAGGCAGACAGTCCAGGATTTCCCCCTTTGGTAAATTATTTGTAAAAAACAAAACAAACAACAAAAACCCCTTGCAGGTTTGAATAGTTACCAACTCACTGGAAGAAATTCACATGTTACAGGTTCAAGCCCTTTTACTCTGAAATAGTTCATGGTAGGAGCTGTTAGATTCCCTCACTGAGGCTGGCTGGAGTCAGGGAGAAAATTCACTTTGGTGTTGATGTTTGGACTTTTTTTAATATTTAAAACTACATACTTATTTGAATTAGTTTGTCTCAGACTCAGGGTTTGGTTGTTTGAGATTTTTGCTGATAAATACATTCTGTTGTAAATATATAAGGAGTATGAATGCAGAAGGCCTAAATAGAGACCTGTGTCCATATTTAACTGTAACCATTACAGCTAATTTACTGAAGTAGTTGTATTATTGTTTAAGGAGACTTTGTGCACCCTTGCTTCACTGTGAAGGAGCTGCTCCCCTGCCTCACAACAACTTTTCTGTATTGTGGCATGGCCAAGGGTCAGGATAAAATCTAGAGCCCACAATTATAAGGCACAATGTGATGGAATATCCCTAGGATGATATTAGTGGGAAGTGAGGGATTAGAAACAAAGTAGTACAGGTTGCCCAAGGAAGTTGTGGATGCCCCCTCCCTGGAAGTGTTTAAGGCCAGGCTGGATGAGGCTGTGAGCAACCTGATCTAGTGGAAGGTGTCCCTGCTGATGGCAGGGGGGTTGGAACTGGATGATCTTTAAGGTCCCTTCCAACACAAACCATTCTATGATTTTATGGAGCACAAAAAATTTTAATAGCTTTTCATTCCTGCTGAAGGCACCTTCAGTTCTCTACCAAACTCAAAGTCAGGTATCAGGATGAGGCTTTCAGCTGAGCAAAACACACCATTAACAAACATATCTTAATGTTGGTGCACATCTTTTAGATGTCAGAAAGACAGCAAAATTGTCATCGCCTATTTCTATCTTTAAAGTGTCTTGCATATTAAAAATTATGTATCAGTACAATCATGTCTTTAGAGTAGAACACCCTTTTGTTCATTCAGCTCTTCAATTTTAAGGAGTGAATTATAGAAGATAATGCTTTTGTGTTAAGTAGCTGACAGAGTTTCACTGTTTATCTTCTTTTTTGTTTTTTTAACAGCTCCTCTAGTGAAGATTAAACAGGCCTTAACAAAACTGAAGCAAGAAACCATTCAGATGGACATACAAATTGGGGTAATGGAACACACATTACTCCAGTCAAAGCTGAAAGAGAAATCCAATATGACTAGAGATATGCATGCAACAGTGATTCCAGAATCCACAGTAGGTGCCTATTAACATTGTTTGGGGCTGACTTGGTTTGCCCAAAATACAGTTTTCTCCCAATTGCTTTTTTGTTAGTTTAGAGGTTTGCTTTTTGTTGGGGGAGGAGGATGTTCTTTTTCCTTGTTTTTGTTTTTAACAAGATGCTTGTCATGCACTTTCAAGAAGTAACACTCACACTTTGGACTCAATAGGGAGCCTTGTTTAGCTTTGTGCTGTAAAGTTTTACTGCAGATCCCTTCCAAATATACTAATAAATTCTTATTAATGAACATGTCTCTACTTCATTGCAGAATGCTATGTAGTGTGAAAGTCTAGAGAATGATACTGACAGCCTGTAATCTTGATATTATATAGTGCTGAAAGAAAAATGCTTGCAAAGGACTTGGAAGGAATTTAAAATGTCTATTACTGCCATTTACATGTGTTTAGTATAAAGTATTTAATTGCTGATTCTGAAATAATACAGCATTATCCTTTCTAAAAGGCTGGGTCAAAATTGATTTCAGCTGCAAGTAAATTGTTGCTTCCACTTTAAGTTTATGAACTAAGCAAAAAACCTGATGTTGCAATAATATTGGCATGTTCCTAGGGCAGCCCTACACAAATCTGTGAGTGGACAACCACTGTATTCCTCACTATTTTTTTATCTTTTTTTTTTTTTGGTGTAATTCTCTAGACAGACTGGTATGGATGTTTTTTATAATTATTTTTATTTTTACATTGCCTGTAACAGAAGCAATGGAAACAAAATCTATACAAGACCACAGAATATGAAAGGTGCTGGTGGGAAATTACTTTTGGCTTTCTAATTTCTTTTTATGTGTCTTCACTGTTTCAAGAGTCACTTGCATTAGCATTGAGTCAAATGCTACTTTCATTTATAGTATGTAGTAGAGCTCTGTGGACATAATTTGGATTATTCTTGTTTTCTGTTCTTGTGTCAGAACACTTAATTCTGATCTCTGTTAAGGAAAAATGTTGCCAAATCTAGTTGTGTAATACAGAATAAGAAGAAAAACGTAGGAGGAAGAGGTTGGAAATGTAATGGCAATGGGGAGCTCCCTTTGTCTTGGTAAATGTGTAGGTAGGGAGTGATTCTAGACATTATTGGTAATGAAGGAGGGTGGTGGAACAAAGAAATAACCTAATTAAAGTTCTAGTACATCCTTTTCGTTACTATTGTTCATAAGCCATGGACAACCTTGCTAAAATTCCAGTGATTTTAAAATCCTCCCCTAACTTCTGTAAGCAATTCCATTCATTTTACAATTAATTTCTCTCACTTAAAGTTGAGCAGTATTTTGCAGAATCAGTGGATCAGTTCTGGGTCTGAAAGTCGAGATGCTTGACACAGTCAGTACCATGAGCCAGCTTCTTTGTTCTGCTTCAGTATTTCATTGGCAAAAAAGAAAAAGCCCTAAACCCTTCAGATTTTAATAAGTGAAAAGCTATATGTAAATGTCAACTATTACAATTTACCTGTGCAAGCAACTGCTGAAAATCTCTATGAATCACACTGGAAATCAGTTTCCAACTTCTTTTGCTGCCTACCTATATCCTCCCACATTCAGCTTAAATTAGAAAAGTTATTATTCATGTTCCCTTTGTTAGGTGGTGTTGCTACTGCATATTTACTTTAACAGTGGGTTTACTTCAACTTAAGATAAAGCAATCCCTTTCTGCGTTGCTGCAAACTAGCTCACTGATGCTTTTGGACTGCAAATGTTGTGCTGTATAAATGCTGTTTATGTAAATACTTTCCCCCAAAAACTCCTCCTTCATGCTAATATAACAAACACAATTAATCAAAAGCCTTCCCTTATGAATCAAGCCTCTTATTCTATTAGAAGTGAACCCGTTGAGACAAGCATGGCCAAAAACCCTCTGTGGTAGAAAAATCTCCAGAAGAAAAGCTAACCTCCTTTATGCCAAAGTATTTATAAAATAATGTGCTAATTATATGTAATTAATCTACATTATTTTTCACGGTACTGTCTGAAAATGCATTAACCTAAGCAGCACATTTCTGTTGTTGTCTCAGGAGTGATACGTGGCCTTTAATTGTCATCTGGCAAAGAATGGCATTTGCCCATGTAGCCAGTAAAACCACTTGACCCTTCTTTGAAAGCCGTCTTACTGATCCAGCAAGTGGCCCCCACCACCTCCCTTAAAAGCATGAGGAGAGCAATGAGGTCTGTCACAAGCAGCCTGAAAGGCTGTTCTAAGAAAAAGCAATTATCTATGTAATTATTCTGCTGCTGGATCAATGCAGGAAGCAGAAGCCCCATTAAAATTATATCACTTGATTCACATTCTTTCATACATTGCTCATTATCTAACGCGATGTCAGAACTGAAGACCAACCAAACAAAGGTGTCCCTAAGTTAGCAGGACGCACGTGAAGCTCTGCTGTGCTATAAAACAGTATCTTCTGAAGATGATTTGGGGTAGGAGGACTATTTGTAAGAGTTAACTTTTATATACAGCTCTCTTCTTCCAAGGTCTCTTTAACATTTCCAGTCCTTTGAAATACCTCGGCGTGGAGGTACAGTGTCACTGTTACATGTCATCTAGAAGCCAAACAGAAGCCAGCTGTAGACAGGTCCAGAAGTAGCGCAGCGGGACAAGCAAGGAGTTTTGTTTGCTGAGTCTGGTGAGAGAAGCCCTGGGTTTTGTCCTTGTCATGGGCACTGCAATAGTTCAGTCTCTTACATGGCTGCAAGGAGAGCCGAGCCTTGGCTCTGTGAAATGTGTGGCTGAGGAAGGCTCATCAGTAGCCAGCTCACTCTCCTGCCTGTACTCCCCAAAGCTCCAGAAAAGGAACACTAGCAATGTATTACTTCTTAGGGTTTCTGCAGCTCTGAAATCGCTCTGAACCTCATAATATGACTCAATGTCTTACTTCCCTGGGCTATCTTATCTCTAGGCTGGGATGTAATGGCTGCAAGTGCCCTGCTAGGAACTGGAAGTAGCCTTAGTGCTCGGTACCCTATTAGAGGTGCTGTTTACAGGCCATTTAGGATGTTTGAGAGTGATGTTACATGCATTACAGTCTTACTTTAAGAAATATTCCAATCTCCATTCTCTTCTAATGTCAGCAGACAGCATGAGTTGTTGGGTATTATGTGCTGTGCTGGTAAAAAGTGCAAAGTAAGGGCTGGATTTTTACCTTTTAATCCAATTCTCACATAGAGAACCTTCTGTGGAGTTAGTGACTTAATATTGAAATTGAAAGAGTTTAATAATGGCTTTCAATCATGTGTTGTTACCAAAATAATGAATTCTTGGCATGAGTTAATCATTTGAACTTGCATCGGTGAATGCTGTGCAGGAAGGTGAGCCATGAATCTGGTTCCAACTACTTTCACCAGATCTGGTGAAAATATTCTGTTTTCTGTTCTTTCCCTCTTCCCCCACCCAAAAGATTGGATCTTCAGGGAAAATTCTTCCTTGAAAAGGAAAACAAATGCCCACCTACTATTAAACATTGCCACATTTTTGGAGTATAGCTCTGCTGTGTGCTATAACATACAAAATAATCACTGTATCGCTAATTGTAAATTACAGTAAGAGCAATTAAGTAATCTCTGCGTGACCTATAAAAAAGACTGGGCATAAATGAAGAGCCTGTATGTGAACATTTCCAGTTTCTGAGCTCTTTGAATTTTGCATCCAAATTTTGCAGTATGGGCTTCTCTCCAAGTTTGACAAATGTTAATTACAAAAGAAGAAATTAGTGTGATGCTGTTTCTTTCCTCGCTGGCTCTCGGCCCGCTCCCTGAAATTTTTTTATCCAGTCAGTCAGTCAGTCAGTCAGTCAGTCAGTGTTGCCTCCACGAGGCAGCTGCACGTGCGCACGCACATGCGGCGCACACGCTCCCGTGTCGCTTGGCCAACGCTAGCAGTAGACTTTGGCAGCACAACAACGTGCCTGTCAATAACCCTGTCCCAGTTCCTGCAGCCTCACTGCTTTCCACTTTCTCGCTGATGTATGTTTTAGGAAATGGCTGGGTGTTTTCTGACAAAGGCTTGAAATCACACTTGGGAAAAGCCTGGCCTATGACATCAGTACCTGTGAGCTTAAGTAAGCAGAGGCTACAAGCACCAGCCTTTCTCTATGAATACCTTTTAGAGGTGGGGAGTTTCCACATGAGGCTCTGAGATCGCTAAAGTTATTTTTGTCTGCCATTTCCTCCTCTCAATGTATTTCTCCCTTCAGCAAACACCATTACCAGGGCTTTCTCAGATATTAGCTAATACTTAGCTACTGCTCCAGGGCTTGGTGTTGCTGGAAATGTCTTTTAGGCTCCTAGTAACAGCCCTACCATTTTGCAAACAATTATTCCCAGGCAACACTGGTTGAGAGCTTTATATTGAGAGGAAATAAGAATCTGAATAATGTGCTAGTCTTTCACTCACTGGCTACTTTTACTCTGGTCTTTTTCATTCCTGATCTTAAGTAGAGCGGCTGTATCTCAGTACTCCATCCCAGAAGTGGCTGAGGCATGCTAGTCGCTCATATGTCTCAGCTACCTGTTGTAACAATCAACAAAGATGAATATTTTAAGGTCAGAAGTACAGAATAATTATTTGTAATAATATTCCTCTCTATGATTCACTAATTGCAATTGTTCATTCAAAATATTTTTCCTGTTTCTTTGGCTTTCAAAGGATGGCAGTACTTCAGATGACATCTTAAGTGCTATTCAGTAGTAACATGAAGAATTAAAACTGTGGATTGTAGGCATCCCCTGGACCAAAAGTTTCCTGCTCTCCTCTAGTTTTAGGGCTGAAGTTTCTCACCGTATATTGGGAGGGGGGCTCTTGTGAGGTTTTTGAGAGCTCTCTCTGTCCTTCTCTCAGCATTGCTGGTCCATGAGCGTGTTACCTCCTTTCAAAGAATGCATTTGGGAAAGAATATAAGCCAGCAGTCAGACCAAGGGAGACAGGCTGTTTGTGAAATTTTGCTGGAAACTAGTGCCAAAAAATGATGCAGAAGGTTTCAAGAGGTTTGACAGCATCTGTTGGTCATTATTTCCTTTGTTATGGGAAGTGCTTAAATTCCCAGTATGATGGCAGGAGTTGGACATATGCTCAACAGTAAAAACAATGAAAACTTTGTGATCTTAAGTGTCATTCACTCATTTTGTACTAATCTGTCTAGCTGCCATTGCATTACAGCTTTCTGTAGCATTCCCGTATTATGAGCTCAAGTAAAACATACTTGGAGTTTTTCACCATCTTCAGCTGTTTCATACTAGCAATAAAG